CAAAATGCCTACTTATCATGCAAAATGCGGAACAAGGTATGTGCTTCCTGCTGTACATCAAAGTAATTCATTTTTTTATAATGGGAACTGTCTGACGATTCACTGGGGTAAATCAAGCAAAACGAAGTAGAAAGATGAGGCAGAAAGTAGGAAGATGACGAGGGCTGGTAATAAATCATGATAGCTGGTACTCTATGTGCTGCTGGGACAGTGAATCAATACGGTGCTAAGCTGCATAAATAAAAGATAACGTGCTTCCTCTCTGCAGGGCATTGCTTGGGCCGTGATGATTGCATGAACTGCCTCGTTCTGCAGAAAAACACGGAGCAACAGTTTGCACTTAGTTATTCGGATAAATCAGGTAAATATCAAGTTTGTAAGGGCAATTTGGGTACAAATGGGGCGAGCTGCCCCTCGCCCGCTGCTCCAGGACCAGGTTGATGCTGCCCAGAACCCCGGCTGGGTAGAGCCGAAGGCTCCACGATGCAGCTCAGCACTGACTCCAGCCTCCCCGAAAGGGCAAAACCAGCCCTTGGGCTCCCCAAAACCGCTGCTCTGAGGGAGCTGCTGGCCTCGCCGTGCCTGTGTCCCCACAGCCCACGGGAGGGGGTGTCCGCATGGGCAGGACGGGGTGCTCGTGCGGGGCTGCAGATCATGCAGTTCCTCCCTTTATCATGCCCGGGACTGTCATAGGGATTAGAAACATACGGAATTGATGGCTTCTTCCCCTTGGAGAAACTGGGTATTGCCAGGTATGAGAAACAATTTTTTTTTTCTTTCTTATGTAAACGGTGTGTCCTTGTCACACAGAAATGGGAAAGGCTATCTATATGTATATACACATATATCTTTCTATACACGTATGTGTGTGCATATGTGTATACATACACAAAATAAAACACAAGCCCCAGACTGCCAGCACACCCTCCCCACACTGCACAGGGTAAGCAGGTCCTAAGCAAGCGGCGGGCTGTTGTTCATCCCGTGTAGGGGGTATATATACACCCATAAACTGTGTATTTATACCCTATATAGGGTATAGATCGCTGAGCCAGACCTCCCCAGTGCCTCCAACCCCCATGCCGGCTTGCAGCGCGTGCAGGAAGACCGCACAGAATAGACCGGGAATCACCACCACCAGCAGCCCTTAAAACTCTTAAAAAGGGGGGAGAACAGCGCTCCCAAACCGCACGCAGGCTGTGGAGCAACGCCTGAAACGGCCCCTACGGCGCCCAGATGGTCGGGAGCCCTCCCCGAAATGCTGCACAAAAGCACCGCAGAGACGCTTACTCCCAGGACTGCCTGTTGTTGTTGTTGTTGTTGTTGTTGTTGTTGTTGTTGTTGTTGTTGTTGTTGTTGTTGTTGTTGTTGTTGTTGTTGTTGCTGTTGCTGTTGTTGTTGTTGTTGCTCTGCCGCCGGCGCACGTGGCCGCACGAGCACCCGCGGGGG